TTTGTCCTTTATTTTTTTCCGTTAATCTCTCTCTCTCTCTCTCTCTCTTTCCCTTCTTTCCTCTCTCTTTTCTTCGTCTACCTCAAACTTTCTCATTATACCTTTCTTACTTATTACTTTTACTTGATTTTATTTCTTAATTTACTTTCTGTTCTAGTCCTACCCATTTGACTAACCCGATATACACCCTGGAGAAAAACGAAAAGGATGTTTCACCAGCATTCTATCTAGTATTGTTACAAGACAATATATATATATATATACCACATATGTATATCTAGATGCGGGGAACTCACCGTCATCTTCAAGAATGGATCAAAGGCACATACAAATGTATTTTTATCTGTTTATAATCTATCGCAATAATTTTGTAAATATCGCATCTGTAGACGATAAATTAAAATGTTATTTAAATGTAATATTTGTGAATCTTGTACAAAGTACATATTATTTAAAAAAGTTTGTATTTAGAGAGTACAAAATTGAAAGATTTTATTAAAATTTAAATCACTGAATTATTCTTAACTTACCTGAGTGTAAATGTAAAATCGACGTACAATGCATTTACCTAATTATGAAAGTTTAATTAAATTTTTGAAAATAGCTCGACATCATATTGCAAAGTCTATTGGAATATATATTGGAATAATAAAATGTACTGGAATATATATTAAAATAATATAATAAAGCAATAAAGTTGTTGAGCAATGAAATAACCATATTTTTGTATAATAAATACTTCTTTTAATTTTCTTATAAAATATACTTTTGAAAAATATATGATGAATTTATGAAAAATATATAATTGCAGAAATATAATATAAATTTTAAAAAACATTCTTTTAGCAAACTTTTGATTGATTGAACTTTTGATGCTACATTTTAACCAATATATTTAAATAATCAATAAGAGTTATGATAAGATGATGTGTGCATTAATTTTTTAAACTTAATAAATAGTTGTACTATCTTACATTTTAATTTACAATATTTTATTTCGGCGTGTTACGCTGCAGCTTGTATATTCACTTGTTCATCGTGACGTTAAATTGCAACAGCACGACTTCGTACGTTACAATTGCACCAGCGACCTGCAGACGAATTTGATATAAATGTGGTTATTATAAAATGTAATAATCTAGGAAATATTAATAAAATTTAACCATTAATACACATAGTGCTAAATAAAGTATAATAAAAGATGCCGATTTAGTATTTTCTTTCATTATTTTTTGCGCAAATATCACGAAGCTTGACATTATAGCAATCATAAAATTATTTTTTTTAATTAAAATTATCTATGTAATATATGTGAAATGTTGAAGAATCTTCCATTGCCTTTATGTGGAAGTCGTTCTTACCGCTAACATAAAATTCCGCGTAATCGAGAAGAAACGCATGCCTGTAAGCGCGATGTCATCAGTGGTGAGCAGATATATTAATCTTCCCGTCTGAAAAAACAACTACATTATTATCGCATACAGAAAATAGAGCAAATTAATTAAATAATTTACGCAATGCGAAAGTAGACTTTCGAGGACACTCGCTATCTTTTATATATATATGTCAAGGAAATCCAAATGCTTACCTCCACATTATAAGTGGACGCTGAACAAGTATACAAAAGTGGCAATACTACTTTGCTTTGGTCGTGGATTCTAGCAGTCAATAGAGTGACAGTCACCGTCCTGCCAATTAAGAATGCGAAAGATCCGAAAAAATAAATATCGCTCATTAGGTTGTTTTCCTGCTTTCTGTAAAAGTCCAGCAAAGTAATAATCGAAATCAGAACTTGGTATTTGCATAAATAAATAATATTAATATTAATTTTACACTCTTGATTTTAATTTTATTTATTAATGAATGAAATGAAAGGTAAATATAACAAAATGAAGTGTGATATCACAAATGAAGCATTTTTCTTGTTAATTAATAATGATTTAACAATTGGCAAAAGCCAATTGTGTCATTATTAACATTATGCTGTTTTTTCTTTTGTTGTACTTACGAGAGACCGTTCAGTAGTTGTAAACAAATGAAATAAAGATTGTTTGCAAATGACAGAAGAATTATAGGTGAGATATCCTTATCCACTTTTTTTACCATGCAACTAAGAGCGGCGTAATCTTCACGCAATCCACACCAATCTATTGTTGTTCGATGTTTCGATGTAAAACTTATTACTTGTTTGTTTAATATTTTATATCTTTCGGCTAAGCCAGTAGCCACCTGAAAACTCCGACCGAAAGGTCAAATTAGTTAATAAAAAATATTTGATTCTAAAGAGAAAAAGAGATTATAAAAAGAATTTAATTATTTGCACAATCTTGTTACCAGCATGATAAAAACATCAGTGAAGTTCCACGTGAAAGTCGCCAGTTTGCTGACGATGAAAATGAAAATACCAAGCGCAAAGTTATAGCTCACTGAAAATAAAAAGACTAAAGTTTGAAGTAATCAAAGTTTTTCATCAAATCTAGGAGAAGAGAAATACAAATAAAAAATAAATTTTTGAAGAAAAGAGTAGTGTAAGGTTAAGGTAAGTTTAATTGCTTCACAGAAATAGTCCCGTAAATAATATTATTATTAAGAGAAAATAATTAAAAAAATTAAAAATTTATGGATTTATATTGTATAGATATAAAAAAATTAATTATTAAATACTATTACTTGAAACAACGTAAATATTTAATAGCTTTTATGTAAATATTAATAATTAGATTTAATTAAATTTATTACGGTAGTGTATAATTAAACATTTAATTTATGGATGGGAAAGGAAAGAGAAAAAGCGGAAAGGCGGAAGAAATAGAAGAAAAAAGAGAAGAAAAGGAGAAATGACAAAAGAGAGAATAAGAAGGAGACTGACAAGGGAAGACTGAAAAGGGAAAGAGGAAGAATCTTTTCTCAATTCATTATTTTTGAGTTATTTTCAAGATAAATTAGTAATTATCAAACTGGATGAATGATGAGAGAAATCGGAAGCGAAGGTCAAGGAAACAGATAAGAAAACAGATGGGAAATTAATACATACAAGTGTGTGTGTGTGTGTGTGTGTGTGTGTGTGTGTGTGTGTGCATGTGTATTTGATAAGAGATAGATTTAGTATTAGAACGTAGATTTAGAACTGAGAGTAATAACAAATAACAGTTAAAATAAGTCTGAGTTTCTTGTAAAATATGTAAAATATTGAGTGAAAAAACTATTAATTCTAAATGTTCATATTATGAAATTTTAAGTGAAAATATAAAAAAATGACAATTAATTGGAATTCGATTGAGGAGAAATATTAAAAATTTATTTAATCTATTTCAATTGTTCAATTTGTGTTTGTGTGAGATGTTCTTAGATTAATGATTGCTACTTACATGATTCCAAAATAAATGCGTGAGAAAACGTGCAATATACTTGTAAAAAATTTTTAAATGTTAAATTTTTAAATGTCGAATTCTTTGAGCTACCACTCCAATCATACTTTTCGGTGTTCACCACTATACTCAAGATATGTTCGATGAGAGCCAGAAACAGAATGGAAGCGGCTATCGCGTAGAATTTCCAACGGAGCTTTGGTCGGTCCATTTTATTGCTGCAAATCCAAAAGGTTTCAATGAATGTAGATTAACTCTTAAGTACTGAGATAAAATAGTGATACTTTTACTGAGATCGGTCCCTCGGACATCGATTAAAAAAAAACTGCAATAAAAATACAGGAGTTTCATAAATTTATGTTTTATTTAATATACATAACAAATGAAGCACTTGAAAATGAAAATGAGACAGATATAGCGTTTTGTTTTCTTTTTCGCGTGGTCCCACAGATCAACCGCCGTATTTGACAGAATTTATAAAGCAATGCAAAATTAATCGACTTTAGAAAGAAATATTACTCATTGAAATTTGAGCTTCAACAAAACTTCAGCATTTTATTCCATCTCTTATTACTGCAAAACTGATTCTAATAGATATATATTGAATTTACAAAGCGATATTTTGCAATACAAAATTAATTGACTTTAAAGAGAAATATTGCTCATTGAGATTCCGAGGAAGAAGCAATCGATTTTGAAAGACGTAATGGTTTTAGAACAAAGGGAAGTCTTTAAACATTTACGACGTTCGAGATTACAAGCAATGATATCATTCGATGATGGACATTAGAGGCACGCGATCATCGTGTCGTGTTTACGTTTCTAACAAAGACTAACAGTCTAAAATTACATATCGAAATACATATCTATATAGGTAAACATACGTAATAGGTATTTCACATGATATATATATTGTTTAAGGGATAAGGTACAGAGAGCGAACGTGCGCAATAATTATAATGCTGTCACTTTGCGATTCTCTTGTTTCAAAGTCTGTCACGGTATCGAACGGATTTGAACATGACGCTTATTATTGCGATTGCTCTTGTAACACCCGCTGTCATCGCATGCGATCGCAATCTCTCTCTCGAGTTATCGAGTTTATGCGACTCCACGCTACTTTGCATGCAGTTCTAAAGCATGCAGGTGCGATATCATCGATTAGTCAGCGATGCAACGATCTTCTGCAACTTTCCTTCGATAATATGCGCTGATGATACCTGTCTATGAAGTGCTCCATAGACCTCCAATCACGTTGGAGGTTTATCCAACGCGGTGATAGCCAGAAAAAAATTATCAAGCCCATCACGCTGTTCCCGTAAAATATCGCGCCTGATGTAGCAGCCGCTATTCCCCCTAAAATCCAATAATACATTTAAGAAAATATTCAAATAATATTAGTCAACTCTTGTTAATTATAGTAAATAATAAGAAATTATTTTAAATGGCCAGAACAAGCAACAGGAATATAAAGCGAAATTTAATAAATTTTATTTCAAACATAAATTATAAATTATAAATTATATAATTAATTTTGAATTTATTTAGTTTTTTTTTTAAATAAAGTCATCATTAAATAAAGAATAAGTAATATATGAAATTAGAAAAAATTACATTACAAATTGATAACATATTCGGAAATATAATACAATACATATACATAAAATTTATTTATAGATTGTTGATTAGAACAGAAGATGTGTAATTTATTTGACTGACGGTTTCAAAAAAGATGCGTTTATTAGAAATAACAATTATATATTGATAAAATATATTGTTAAAAAATATATTGATAAAAATAAGCGATATTCTATTCGCATTTATTTATTTTTATATTGTAAAACTTTTTCAATTTTAAAATATCATCTCGAATATTAATTAAAATAAAATACAAAGTAAAAAATCTATTTTTCAATTCATTTGATTTTTTCCTTTCTGGTTTTATCTCTCTTTTATCTCTCCTAGGGAGAGAATCTCCTGTGTGATAATGTTTTGATTAGCTTTACGAGTTGATCTTTTTGTATATTATTATCCTCATTTCACGATATAATGAAGCTACGTATGTCATTTTGGATAAATGCGGCGTGACACATAGCACAAAGGATAAAATACTTATCTGTTTACCTTGCACTTCGAAAGTTGAGGAGTTCAGTGTTCTTATCATGTGCATAACCGACAATATCGCAATAAATAACACCATTGCGGTTATCAAAAAGGCGTAAAGAGTACGAAGTGAAATTTTTGCGAACTTTAACTGCAACGGACTCGGTCTGCGTATTCCTGAGACTGGTAAAACTCCAAACAATTGAGCAATTGCTAAAATCGGCCCTATCGCACAGTGGAAGCTCTCTGGATCCTATAAGAGATTTTTTTCTACTCGATACTATTTTTCTTTTAGTTTTAACACGCAATATCTTAAATAAATTCAGCAATATAAAATAAATATAAAAAAAAAAATTCTAATTTTTCTGGTACTTTCTGAAAGAAAAAAAAAATAGATTTATTTAGCCCTAAAAAAATTTTTTATATAGAGTTTCAGAAATATAGGAGTTGAAATTGAGAACAAAAATTACAGAGGCAAATAAAAATATAAAATAAAAATAGAAGAAATATTTTAGATTTTAGACATTTTTAAATATTTGCCTTACTTAAAAAAAATTCACTTTTTTTACTTTCTTTTACACATTTTATATTTCATAACTTTCATAACTTTATATTTTTATCTCTCTTTTATCTCTCTTTCGTTTGAGGCTTTGAAGAACGAAATTCTTACAATATATGAAGCAAAAAATTGAGCTTTCTTGTAATACCCACATTATTGTTCGCAGGTAGAGTTTGTTCGTTGAGAAAACTGCTATGAAGAAACGGACGTTCTTTCGGCGAAGATTGTTCCGGAGGATACGAGTTTGAAATTTGTGTCTTCGTTCCATTTGCTTTATTCTTTTGTGTTAGGAATGGCAAGATTTTTTGGCGGGTCGCGCTGCTCCTTTTAGAGCCCGCACTAAATATTCGCTTCGTCTTTAACATCATGCCGAGGCTTCCTCGTTCAGCGAACCACCCATAACATCGAGGTAATCCTGATGCAATTAGAATTATCTCGTAATATTTAACGTATTTAAAGTTAAAGTCTCTCCTAATCTAAATTATACAAAACAAACATAAATTTTCATTATCGAATTTGCACGAGATTATTAACGATTGTTAAACATTAATTTGCAACACAGCTCGAAGTTGATTAAACTGAGAGCTTGTAGAGAACACGCACAAGTCGCATTAGAATCAAACAAAACCAAGTGAAGCATGTAATCGTGGATCGTAATATATGGAAGTACATTAGTTAGTTTAAGCATTATATGCAGTATAATTACACATCTCGTCGTTTTTTTCAAATGTTGCAAAATAGAAATTAATGTAACGCGTCGCATAATGAAGAGAGTGAGATGCGTGAATCACGCATTGACGTATATCCGCGCACGTATTTTTGAAAACCGTAATGAGAATGTATTGCAAACTGCTATAAATAATTTCAAAAATCTAATGAAACAAGACGTCGAGTTTTTTACATTTTCACGTGAAACATCAACGGGTAATTTTACGCGCTGTTTAAAAAAATGCAGTATATTAGTATATTCACGATAGTATATTCATAGTATATTCACGATAGCTGGGGCAATTAATTATCCTCGTGTCATATCATCGGATACGAATGAGCTATCGCATCCTGTCGCCTGAAAGGGTTGGTTGTTTGTCCAATTTGTGGATATAAACCCGATATGTTGACGCAGAGTACCGACTCCTACGTCAAATGCAATGTCATTTCACGTTCATTTACTGGAATGATTCTTGTCAAATGTTATTAAACGGCTACTGTATGCAATTTCCGAGTGGGATCTTATGTTGCCTGTAAATTTCCATTAAGAAGCAGTAAAACGCCACGTGCGTCTTTAAGCTCGCAAATTGAAGAGGAAAAAGCGACAGTAATTTGTAAACAATGCGATTGTATAATAGTTCTTTGAAAAGTTATAAAGATTTCATCTGCAAAATTGAAATTTATTTTAATTATAAAACTAATATTTTATAGTTATTATTTATGTCAATAAGCAGTTCTCAATTAAATGTCAACTTTCCAAGTGAAAGTTACTATTACCAAAAATGCTTATTTAAAAGATACATAATTTAACAAAGCATTGTAGCCTTGTTATTATAGCTCTTATTTTATTAAAAAAAAATATATATATCGATATAATAAATATAATATAAAAATATAACAAATATAATATTAATATTTTATATTTCTTTGTCTTTACATTAGTAAAGTAACTAGTGATATATACATTGTTGTTGCGAATATTAAGGATATCAGAAATTGTTCAAATATAATTTATAACTTATGGTTTTTTTTATGAAATTATATGTCAACCAATGTCAGCTCAATTCGATCTTAACTCGTTCATTATTAATTTCAGTTTGACTTCATAATTTACAATTATAATTTCGACATTAAAAATCGATATTAATATTTAAAATTTATTTATCTATTTTGTTTCTTTATCTATTTGTCACGTATACACTGTTAATGTATTTTTCTAAAATGTATTTCTGGTATTAATATTGTCAGAAATAATTCCAAAAAAATCTAAAATAGAAATAGAAGAAAAGTTGTCGAGCGTATGTATCATAAAATTTTAAAAAGTTGAAATATTTATTTCAAGTAATTTAAAACAATTGTAGTATATGTATATGTCCTATATATATTTCCTTTAATAAGTTTTGCAAAATTTACCAAATTTGATCAATTTCATCTTAATAATATCTTCTTTTGATCTTAAATATTCATTCATCAAAAAGTGAGATCCAATTTTTTATCAACATTTTTTATATTTCACATAAAAAAAATACAAGTTTATAAATTTGTATTTGAAATAAAAATATACATATTTAAAATTAAGAAGGTAATATTAAAAAAAAAATGCATCTAATTTGCCAATCCTATTACATAAAACTTATCCATTTTAGAGACATTAATATGAAAAAATATTAAAATATAAAAAAAGAAAAAATATATGTATTAAATTCTTTCAAGTTAGTTTAATAAACACTTTTTAAATTTGTGGTGTATGTAGAATTTTCGATAACTACTCTTCTATTTCTATTTAAAATTCCTTTTGAATTATTTTTGACTATGTTCAAAATAATAAGACTGGGGAATCAATTTTGTAACAAAGATCTCTTCAATTATTAATTATTTTTCAATCAGTCGAGGCACTTTTCAAAAATGGTAAATACCTTCTGTGATATAAATCGTAATGTACTCACATGAAGTCCTGTGCTTTGTGATTCTCGTTCCTTTGAATGTCACATCCAAAGAGAGATAATTGAAGAGGGGATGAATTTCGGTAATGGTCACGTCTAAATCTACCACACGAGTGTCTTCAATGTGCACAGGCGAGCGAAGACCGGCAGAATCAAGACACACATGCGGAGCTGCGCGACGCATGTCCGATCAGATAGTTTGCTATACCACTTACGCGGAGCTTCGCTGAGGATAAAATGCACGTGTGTACGGCACCGATTGTATCGATTACATTGCAATTTGCTTTTCTTTTTGCGTTATGTGCGAACATATGTCTTGAGCTCCTTTAAATGTTGCAGGGTCAATTGCACAGATATCACAATTAAATCTCGCTAGATCGAAGAGAAACAAGATATAGAATCGACTAACGAATCATAGATGAGCGATTTATCGCTAAAATTGAAATATTAAAATTTTTCGAAAAGTGACTTTTAAGTTACTTTATAATCCCGCTTTTAAAAATTTTCTTTTAATTTTTAAATTTGTCCTTTCCACTAGGGAAAATTTTCTAGAAAAGATATATTTATAATCGGTAAAATCTGATATGATCACTAAGTAATTTGAATAAATAATCCATTTATTAAAATTATTATATTGATTAATGAATAATAATATGTAATTGAGTAAAATATTTTATGTTCTTTATCAGCAGTTTGATGACAGCAACGCGCTTATTACAGTCAAAATATTCGTGCGAAGGAAAGCAGATTTATTTATGAACTTGAATATGATAGATCGTTTTTATGAATATTATAACTCGATTAAAGACTTTATAAGATCGCCCAAATTTCTCGTATCATTGTACTCCGCGCTACAACTGCTACTTTAGATTTAAACAGCAGTTAGATCTAAACAGCAGTTTACAATCTTTTAATCGGCACGGTGTATTTGCACTTGACGATGAAACGAGATAAGCGGTTGTGCGAAAGCGAGTTAGAGGCGTTAGGATTGATAAAATATTCAAGAATGCGGCTTGTCTCGGCAAAACAGTTACAGGAATACACTAATAAATGAGGTATGAGTAACGAAGGAAAACAACGAGAACTGTTTACACGTGGCGTTTATACGCGAATCGATTCTCTCACGAAAAAACATACGTATCTCTGATGTAAAGCCAAATAAGTGAGACCAACGTATCCACTATCCTCTGAATAGAAAAACATGAATTTATGATACTCGCATACATGAATCAACATAACATTGATTCTCTATAGATCATGATCGTCGTGACTCGACGACAATTAATATAACGTACACGCAGTAATTAGCGTCCTTCTTTTAGCCAATTAATCTTGGTTGATTGATAAACTAATCATTTTTCATCTTCTAAATTAGCTTTTTTATGTTTCCACTCGCGTTTGATATAAATTGATGAAGTATACCGAAAATTCCTTTCTTATCGAGACTTCGCATTAGTAAATATTTAATTTATTCCTCATGTATTATCCCCCTCCCTTATATTTCCTGTGTAAAGAAGTAAAATGATAAATGATCAAGATTTATGACACTTTATTTATTGAACCATTGAACCATTGAACCATTGAAAAAAAGTCCTCGGTATATCTTACTAAATCTATATTATCAGGATAATTTAAAAACAAAGAATGGTACGTGAAAAAATTAAATATATCACATAATTTATATTCTTCTAGAAAATTTAACTTCTCAATTTTGATGTAATATGATGAGGTATGGCAAATAAACAAAAATGTCAATAAGAATAATAAAACGAAACAGTCAGGAAATACGATGAAAGTTTAATATGATAAACTTTATTTAATTCTATCCGTTCGTGTATTTATATCTCATTCACATAGCACAATACAAATAACATAGTGTGTTTTAAAAATTGTTCTACCAAATGGCACGTTGCAATCCAGATATTTTATTATAGTCGACTAAGTGACGAAAGATGAAACGTGACAATCTCCACCGGACCACTGTACCTCGACCACGAGATGTTACTACACATCTTGGTGTTAATTGTCTTAATGCAGTCTGTCTGGGAATTGTTTCATCTATTTGTTTGCCAGCGAGCTCCTAGAAGAATTATTATAAATTAGAATTATGAATATAATATTAACACACTATATAAATAACATGCACAGCAATATATATAAAAATGCATTGATAACAAGTAATATAGAAAACTCTATGCCAATACTCGTGAATTTTTGAGCAAATTACTTGAAGTTATTCATTATTCAAATAATAAAAAGTCAATACAATTTCTTTTTTCATCAAATTTTGATATTTTTTTTAGAATTCGCTGTTCTATATGTATATAAAACATTGTTACCAAGTCATTACAGAAAAAAGTAATTGTATTAATAATGGTATATATGTATTACCTCCCAGCCCTGTGAATTTTATATTCTTCAAGTAATAGAGGAAAATCCTATTTTTTTCCAAGATTTACAACTTACTCTGATCTCGAGTGGTAAAATATTATTGCGTTTCAAGGCAACTAGTCGCAGTCGTTCTTCAGCATACTCTTTCGCCCATCTCCTACGCTTTTGGTCGCGTATCACTCTGCAGCCGACATAGTTTCGTGTCTGTTGCACAGAGAAAACAATGATGTAATTAGGCACAAAGAACATAGCAGTTGTGGTTTAATTGTTGATATAGTCATATATTATGATCTAAAATATAGACTTTTTTAAATATCAACACAATTGAAAACAGTCCCATGTTGTATCTCAAAAAAATTTATAAAATCGTAGGTTCAAACAATCCATTACTCAAATAGTCGTTTACCTGTCCTAATAAATTTATATTGTTCGGCAAAATACCGCAGACAGCCGAAACACAACCTCTCAACGTCGCCATGTTCACCGGATCAGCTGTTTCCTTACCCACCACATGTCAAGAGCCAAGAATCAAGCGCTGTAGTGTCAGCAAATTTTTTTATTTTTCTATGTGACAGACTTATGTCTATTTTTAACAATGTAGATTAATTTTAACCTTGATTTAACTCACTTTTTATGTTTTTTACTTCTAAAAATTGAAAAAGAAATATTTCTTTCCAGTAGCTCGATCGCTAGTTTCTTATACAAATTTCCCTATGTGATACATTATTTTCAATAGGGAGATTTCTTTCCTTTTAGGTGCACATACTCGAGGAATGCGACTTTTCCCTTGATGATAAGGACCTCCGTCCTTCGTGGGTCGCGTTGATAGGACAAATTCTTTTGTTATCGCTGATAAAGTAGCGTTTTAACTATTCTTTTAATAAAACCAATCACAAAACTAATCCGGACACGATGAGGACGATATACCTTTTGGCCTTCGTTATCTTTGTTGGTGAATATCGGATAAGTTTGAAACTTTGAATCTGCTCTCTGCAAACATAATTATTGTCGTTCTTTATTAAATGCTCTATAATTTTGCCATGTAATTAATATAATTAGTCATATAATTAATATAATTAGTTAATATAATTAGTTAATATAATTAGTTTTAATATCTAACGAAACAAATGTTTATAGTGATATTTCCTGTAACGGAAAGCGGAGTATATAAGTCCAGGCAGAGCTATCAGATGGAAGAACAGGATGGCTATGGTGGTGCACCGGCAAAGTATTACAAGACGAATCAAAAATTGCCAGCGCCTAGAAATGAGTCATCACCACATCCAAGTCGAAAATTCAATGTTTCAGCTTGGGGAATCATCGCAATAATTATAGGTGTGATCGTATTCAGTACAATAACTTATTATATGTTCCTACTATATCCATATATATGTAAAAAGGATGAATCTTACGACATCATAGAATTAACAGAAGTTAATTCTGTTAATGACAATGTACATTTGAGAGTATATTGTGACTCGAATAATGTATCAAATGATGTATCAAACAATGCATAGATGTATCGATAAGGTAAGGCTGAGAAAGATAATATGACTTTCATACATTTATTTTATAAGTGAATACATTTACTTAGGATAATAGTATTTTTATATCAGTTTTAATAGCAATTAAGTCTCATAGCAACTAAATACTTGACTGCCACGAAATCTTTTAGAGTAGAAAAATATTGAGATTATTATATTGTCTTATATATGCAATAATAGAATAAGTTATTATAAATTTATAAATAAGTTTTTATAAATTCACAAGCATTTACAACGACCACTGTGAAAATAATTCATTCTTTTATTGCAACTTATACACTACAAAAAGACTGAATTATACAAATTAAAAGTTATGCATCAGATACATGCCAGAAATGATACAATTATCTTTTCCAATACAATCGCTAGTTTGTATAAATAGCATGTAGCGATTCTGCTCGTGATGGAAGACTCTAAAAAACTGTAGAGTACACTTGTTTTAATTAGATGACGATCTTAATGTTACACAGCGTACTAACACACATTACGACAACAGACTGATTTTTGTAATCTCCAAATTTGGTCCCATTGTAGGGAAAATCAATTAGTAGTCTTGTGAGCTGAGAACTTTTTTTTGCGCGCTACCAATATGTATAAAACTCACAATACTCATAAAAATGACTTGTAAAAACAGTATACATGTAAATGTATGATGTATATTTATTATAAATAGGATTTTTTTACATAAACTATGTGTATCTTAAACAACCTACTTTTTCTATAAAAAGTAAATGGGCTAATAAATGCATTATAACACACGGAGCGCATACTGGAATTGCTCTATCTCTTTCCTATCCAAACACATGAAGAATGATATGCAAACAATATGACAATTATATACATTTATGATAGTCTAAGCTTTACTTAAAGCAACACAGACAAGATTGTATAAAATTGGCTTTCAAATGGAAGAGTTACTTAAACGTGTATTTTTTTATATAAAAAACTGGGTAACTGCACCTGAGAACTGGTCTTCCTTAGGATACACAAAGCGACAAATGATTACGTCTTATATATAGCAATGTTAAGAGTTTTCATACAAAATTAATCGATGTAGACTTTTAAGTATATATAGATGTTAAGTCTGATGATACAAAATAAATTTTTGGGCGAGTATGACTTGTATACCGAACCACGATTAACCCTTAATCAGCCCTTAATCAGTTTTATCAGAAACAATATACTTCGTGTGCGGTAAATTCTTTTCTAAGAAGAATTCAGCCATTGACTTTGAATAAGTTAGAGTTCGTCTTTTTCGTCTAGATTAACATCGCTGAGATCTATTTCTTCTTCCTGTGGAGGTTCGGCATCTTTGCCATCCCAAGGTGTAGTTTCGAGGATGATAGGCAATTGAGCACCTTTCAAGGGCGCAGTACCACCTCTGCCGTAACTCAAATCTCGTAGAAATTCGTTTATTCCGTCATATGAGAAACTACCTTTTAGTAAGGAATACTTCATCTTTTTGATATTGACAGCTGCTAATGCAGGATAACCAAAACCTCCGATTTCTAATGCATCTTCAATGTTCGGTTGAGCACCAGCTTCAGTCCAAACCCATCTATACAGAAAGTAGAATGTTTTGTGAATATTAATAAGAATTGAACAAAATTATGCGATATGAAATAAACTTAATTATAGCTTCTTTAAAAAAAAATTATAAGTAAAATTCTTGCATTCTGATATTAAGAATAAGTAATATTATCTTTGTCTATTAACATCCTATTTCCTTTTAATACAATTTTTTGCAAAGTAAATTTTGCAGTAAAAATTAAAAATAATATTAATAATTTTGAATTTAAGATTGACAATGAATGTTTAATGCATACCCCCACATTTTCTTTTTATACTTCTCGCCGAGACTGGTCAGAGTTTTTAAGTATCCATTTCTGCAATCAGACTGACAATCCAAAATATGTGGTAGAACGGAAACTACGCAAATCGGCTTGTCTTCGCAAGCGGATTTCAGCTTCTGCTCGGATGTAATTTGTACTATTTCTGGCGTTGGAATATTTTCAGCTAATTTCTCAAGCGCCCAGTTAACGATATCGCCGCTCGTGCGACCGCCGTCATAGTCTTGTACCGAATCAGCATCTTTTTGCCTGGCGCGAAGAATTTAATGGTAGGGTAACCTTTGATCTCATATTCACTGGCCTGTAATATTATGTGTTAGAACAAATTTGCCATATCGTTTGTTTTGGCAAGAAAATATTAGTTTAACATATAGCTTACTTTCAATGTGTTTACAGTGGCATCCAAAGCTCCCAATTTGACTTTGCCTTTTAGCTCGGTAGCTGCTGCTGCCCATTCAGGTGCCAGATTCTTGCAATGGCCGCACCAAGGAGCATAGAATTCAACTAGCCACATATCCTCCGAATTCAAAACAGTTTTGTCAAAGTTTCCATCTGTCAATTCTATTACATCTTTGGAATCCTTGCTCTGTAATAATCAAATAAATATTTAAATAAATCTTAATTATCTTATCTGCTTATAAATATCATATTTTATATTTTTTATAAATAAATTTTCAAAGTTTTAAACTGTACCTTGGAGTCACTTCCAGAACTTTTACCACCTAATGCTTTTCGAGCTTTTTGATTGGCAGCATTTAACGCAGCATCAACAATACCAGCTGCAGTTCTTGGACCATTATAATCTTCTGGCTTTTTATCAAGTCCAAATATCTTAATCGTTGGAAAACCACGAACGCCATATTTACCTCCCAAAGACTTATGTTCATCGGCATTTACTGCACCAACTTTCACAATACCCTATTGAGATAAGTTAATATTTATATACATGTATGTTTATGTATATTTAGAAAATATATAATAAAAAAAAACAGCAATACAATCACCTTTAATGCAGTAGCCGCTTTGTCATACTCGGGCATCAATTGTTGACAGTGTCCGCACCATGGCGCATAGAATTCAACGACCCAAATGTGATCGCTATTTAACACTAAATTATCAAAATTATTTGGTTTAAGATCAATGACAGCTGAATTGGAGGCGTACATGCAGTTCGCTCCGGCGACTAGCAGAAGAATACCTGCAAGAAGAGACAACATACAATAGGAGATACCAAACGAGATTTACGTAATCAATCATTGTTACTACGAATCTACGAGATAATGTCGTATGACAGAATCTCCAGAAACAGAAACGGGATTCAAGGAGACACTTGTTGCGGGCTCATCATCCACACGGAACTCCGGCGATAACGCCAGATTCATGCAACGTCAGAAGGCCATCGGCATCGCGACCGGTCTCGCGCCGGCGATACGCACTTGAGCGACTTACCTAAGAGCTTCGACATCTTTCCGTGGATTGCACAGGCAACACGAGACATCACCAGCGGTCAGTCACATTCGTCGAAATCACGGAGCGAGGCGAACGAGTAACGAGTCTGACGAACCGTCTCCGTACGAAGCTCCGAACACTCTGACGTTTGCCCAGATGCGCTGGCGGCATTTCCCGACCGCCGACGGCCGACTCTTCGTGGACCATTCTGATTGGCTCGCCGCCATCTCGCGAGCTCTCGCTGCATCTCGATACATCTCGAATCGCGATTGCGTGAGGAAACCGCGCGGCCTCGATCACTCCACGCGTTTCCACGCGATTTTCGGATGTGATTTCTGGACTCCGTCTCTCTCGAGATTGCTCGGTTGTTTCTCGGTTGTTTTATTTGCGGCACGAATGTCCATATATGGACATCGTTAAATGTCCAGAGCATTGAATGCAAATAAGACGAAGAAAAAGTTTCAAATCAGCGATCAGGTGGTAAGTGGTGGAATAAACTTTGCGCGCTTTCGTAAGAGACACAAGATGATCGTCAAATGTAAATATGTGCTCGTCTCATTATTTTAAAATTATATTTTTACTTTTTATATAACAATATAAATAATATAAAATTGTTAATTAAGATTTTTGTAGTCATCTTGGATTGATAACGTTAAAAACAAAAACACAAAAATTCTCATAAAATACATTAAAATAGGAATATTTTTTCATAAAATAACATTTGTAGTTGATAGAATAAATTGTAAAATATGAAAAGAAAAAAATGCAGAAAAATTTTTAATTTTTAATTTTCTATTAAGTGAGGAAATATGTAATGAAAATTCTTGCAAAATTAATATAGGAATATTTTTCAATAAAACAATATTTGCAATTGATAGGACACTTTTTATCGAAGCAAAAAGGAATTTTTGGTATATTTTACTAGTCTGTTTTATCAACTGCAAATGTAATTTTATTGAGAACTATTCCTATTTTAATTTTGCAAAAATTTTTATTGCATATTTTGTCATTAAATAGTCGTGATAAGTACGTTTTAAAAGTTATATTAAAGAATGTGATATATATATATATATATATATATATATATATATATATATATATATA